TGTAGTTACCTGTGTACAGCAGTGAGGATACAGCCAGGATACACTTGTTCAAGAATGTGAAATTCATGCACATAAATGCCTTCTGATGAGGAGAACTACATTTTTAGGCACTTTTGAGTTAACACAGCATGGTGTGCTAAAGGTCTTTTTGAAATTTTAAAATACACTAGCATAGCATTGGAAATATGTGATAATGGGGTAAAAGAGAACTCTGAAATAGTGTTGTGCAGCTAGTTTGTATTGTTTTATTTACTGACACATTTTAACTATATGTAAGAATTGAAAGTCTGAAGACTTATGTAATAGAGTTGAAAGCAGAATTAGATCTAATAAGAAAATGTCAGTGGATTTGTATTGAGCTTAGGAACAGTAGAGAACATCTAGTAAAGTAGAGAGATACGGTTCTTTTTTTTTCCCCAGCACTAGAATTTGATTTATCAAGTGCTGAAAATCTCTGATCAGAGTATATACAAGTGGGGAAATCAGTTTGAAAGTTGCTGTATTTTAAATCAAGTTTTCCAGACACACTGTTAGTGCTACTTGTTTTGAGTAAGGATGGCAAAGTCACACAGTATATAGAATTATAAACCAATATGTCCTCTCCTGAGCCTGCTTTATCTTACATAATGTATCAGTCGATAAAAGAACAGGTTGCTAAATGGGTTAGTGAAGGGGTTTTTTTCACAGCTTTGTTTCTTGAGGTTGGATTTTGTGGTCCAAGTTTCTGTATCCTTTTACATAGTTACTCTTTGTCTTTTGATTTCTCTGCCTTTTGATTTCTTCTGTGTTTTCCCCCCTTCCATTAAGGGATAGGCTCTCCAGTTTTAATTAATGCCTTCTCAGTGAGGTGTATTAACAGGAGCTGCCTCTTGTCTACTCAATATCCCATTTTCACTAAACTTGCAGGGAATATATTGAGATACTTCTTCTGTGAAATAAGTCTTTTGTGCCAACTAATCAGTGGTTCAGTCATTACTGTGGACCAAGACATATAAATGGAAAAAAAAAAAGCACAGAAAGTGGACTAGAGAAGTCTTACTTACAGAGGCAATATTTATCAATAATAGATAGGGCTGGTATTAAAACTTACAAATCATAGTTACCAAACTGAACTGATGATACTGTGGTTGTCAGATATTGAACACCATGAGATGGAGAACTGTCTGTGCAGTGGCCCAAGACTTACATCATCTTTTTTTTTTTTTTTTTTGGTCTGATGTGTTCCTAAGCATTGTCAACCATCACTTTTAGGAACATACTATGTTGTGATGCCTCTCATCAACTGATTATGCGTTACCACGTCCTAAATTATTTGTGAACAGAACTATTGCTGGGAAGCAACAAAAGGGAGTCAATTCAGCTGTTCAGATGCAGTGAGAGAATAGTGTAGGAAACCCTTTCTTAGTATCTCAGCACTCACACTTGCTGTAACCCAGGTGAGACTGAAGTGTGATGTGCTTTGCTCTCTGCCCATGAAATGACAACCTAAACTCAACCCCAGATGTGGCTCCCATGAACGGAACATCCTAATAGTGCTGATCCAGTCATCCTTTATTTTCAGCTGGAAAGTGAGGGTGCTGCTTAAACACCTGCATGCCTCAATGTGCACGTTTTTAATCTTGCAGAGGCTCTGTGCTTAGCAGGTAACCAGCCCAATGTACTCTCTGAAAAATAATAAGCCTGATTACTTGCTTGGAAGGTGCAAGGATAGTATCAGCCGAAAAGAGGAGATGAGGGGAAAAGATCTTCAGAGAGATAGACTTTGCTGTCAGGTGAAAGATAACAAATACAGCTTGAGGCCAGTTCCTGCTGCATTGCTTCCCTGTTTATCACCTTGATTTAAGGACAGTTCTTACACATTATGCTGGAGATTCACAGGGAGGCTGTAGTCTGTTCACTTTGGTAGTTTTTTTCCTGTGTTCAGATCACTAATATAAGCCCTAATGAAGTGTTCATGAGGAGCACATTGGCCTCAGGTGAGATAAAACTTATTAAAACCAACTGTGAAAGGTAGCAGTCCTGCCCCATTTCTTACTGCCTTCCCCCCGCCCCCCTCCAATCAAAGAGTTGTGCTCAACTTGCTTATTTTTGACCCAGTACCTGAAGTAGGTTGGTGGCCAAAGTTCACCAGTAAAGCTCATCTCAAATGTGCAGTGCAGACCTGGTCCCTGTTGCCTGTGTGTCAGTGCAAAAGGTAAATGTTTCCTCTGCTGTGTTTCTGAGATGGTGCAGTTAAAATGGAGAAGTAGCTTTGGGTTTTCCCATTAGAGCCAAACTGAGTTCTATAGACTGTGGCAATCTGTCTTTTCACTGCTTCAGCCATGTCATCTTTAAAAGGCAGTTTAATGGTGCCTTATGGTGTGTAGAGTTTACAAGGCTAATCTGTCCCCAGTTACTCGACACAGCCTTTGATAAAGCAGCGTCTCAGATTAGATTAAACTGAGTCCAAAATGTTTTATGGGGTGATTTAATATACTGGATTGAAACAGTTACACTTATTTAAGTGACTCTGAAAACTGAGGATTTGAGCAGCTGTAAATAACTGAAGGGTTAACAGTGGGCACCAGCATCTATTTTCAAGGGTTCTGAATTTTTTTCTTTATTCTGAGATGTTTGTGGCTTTGAGAGATGGAGGAGGCATACATCCAAAACCATGGGGAGCAGATTTTGGTGTTGGATGGCTTTGCAATCTAAGATAATCCTTTGATTTGAATAGATGTGCACTGGTTTACCAGTACCTGTTTATTGTTGGTATGGTCGTGCTGTCACTGTTGTAAAGTTAAAAAGCAGCAATTAAAGCTGAAATCTGAAAGGTGTTTTATAATTTCACGTGTGACACAGCTCCCTACCAGGGACTGTGGCCATGGCAGCAGTGGTTGCTGCACTTTGTGAATAACAGATGTGAAGTTAGCTTCTCTTAGTGAAACTGAGGAGTTTAATAGTGATTTTTGTTAAGTACGAAGTTTTTAAAACTGCCTTAAAAAATGAGAAAGAATGCATCTCTGTTTCCTGTCTTATGTGCTACTAAATAAACTAGGGATTAATAAAAAGATACTGGATATGGGTGCAGGAAAAGGCAATTGTTAGTTTAAATCTCCCTGCTTCTCCCATAGTTTTCCCACCCCTTTTATATGCAATCAAATCCTGGATGAATATCTGAATATGAACATGAATTGGAAACAGAACATTATAATAATTAATGAACCTACCATTTTGGAAATCTCTATTCTTGCATTACATTTAAGGTCTGTAATACCTTTTTAACCCTTTTCATTTTTAAGCATCTGTGCTAGTCGCATTCTCTTACTCTCACACTCCTATTCATCTGAAGAGAGTTCTCCCAAAGAATCCCTTTTCATCCATGGATTGCTTGTTTGAATAGGATATGTAAGATTAATTGATTCACAGGTTCAGTTGCTTCTGTTTATCTGAATTCAGATGAGTGTCAAAATCTTTCCAAATCACAATATTAAATATGTTTACTTATAGAAATAGTAGGTTGCTATTTTTATAATATGGCAAATAGTAGGCTGCTATTTTTATATTTTTTTTTCTGTCTTAGCTGTTGAGAAAAGCAGAACTAAACACCAAATGCTTATGAGGCTTCAACCGAATGCCATATATTCATGTAATTTAAACACTTGTAAAGCCACAAAGAACTCTGCATAAACAGTCCTTAATATCAGCAGCTAGGAGATAAATTGAAAATTGTATATATACACACACAGGAAAAAATAAAGAATCTAAAAAATAGAAGGAGAATTGAACTGAGAAACAAAGGTGTCATAACAAGTTCTCAGGTTCCTGTGGAGTCAGAGCTGTGTGCTTCAGAAACACCACATACCTGCAGTCATTGCTCTGACCACTTGGAGCCATTTGGAAAGCCATCAGTAGAGCAGCATAGTGAATAGTAAAATATTCCTTTAATTAAATCCGAATTACTTCTGTCTGGAAAATTAATATAGCTTTGTATCACTGTAGTAGTCTTCAGTCAATTCTAAATAGGCAGAGCATTACGCAGAAAGGTCATCTCGTTTCATGGGACTGTTTGCCACATTACAGTTTGATTTCATATGATTTAGAATAAAATCCCCATATTTTTCAGTTCTCTATGAAAGGGAAAACCTGAGGTTTTTCAGTCAAAAAGACTGCTACAAGTTATGGTACTTGGATGCTCTTGTCCTTGACTTTGGGGAATTTTGCCTGATTTGCTGCCCCAGATCTATAGATTTTTGGAAAGGCTAATTAGAAGTTCCAATTCAGGCTTTGGTGTTCTAATGAGACAGAATAAAAGCTGTTTGCCTAACAGGAGGCAAACTCCAGGTTGGATAAGATAGACTGGGTTTTTTAATCTAATTTTATTTTTTTATTAATCTGTAAATTCCTTGTGTTTTCTGTCTTAATTGAGGAGTAACTGTCCAGAAATCCTGTGCCAGTGTATGCAAACATCTAGTATGTGCTATGCCCATGTTCTTGAGGAGGTAAACTAAGCATAAGTGTCTTACATATATGGAAGATCAACTCAAGATGTTTTAATAAGATTAGTTTCAAAACTGAGGCATTTCTGGGGTGGTATTTTTATCACGTGAAAATCTGTTAGGGTTGTAAGTCTAGCAAGTGTCTGATGAGCAAGGAGAAAAGTGGCTCAAATGCAACTGTAGTGAGTCTTAGCACTGTGTTTCCTCTAAATGCTACATACCAGGTAAAAGTAAGATTTTTTTTTTGTCATTAGGCTTTGAAAGAAGCTCTTGGCACAAGCTTCTTGGGAAACATGACTTCAAATAGTTTTCTGGGGGGTTGATTTCATCCTGTCATAGCTGCTGGTTCTATGCTGCAAACACTGCGGCACTGCACCTGTCTTTATTTGGTTTGTACACAGCATTGTGTGGTGAGAACTTGATGCATGATAAAGCCTCAATCTCAACATTAATTGAAATAAACCATAATGTGTTCTGGCACTGCTGTTGTTAACAGTCACCTGTGTTGGTTTGCTCCCCCAGCTTTCCCTGCTGGAAGATGCAGGCTTTGGTGGTGTTCTTCTTTACGCTGACCCTTGTGACTTGCCAAAGACCACAGATCTTGCTGATAAAGCTTTTATGGTTTCCTTGAACAGTGGAGGAGATCCATCAACACCTGGCTATGCCAGCATTGGTAAGTACTGTTCAAGGCATATTTAGTTAATGGACATTTTCATTCTCTGAAGATTTTAAGTATGGGAGTTAAAACACTAAACCAAATCCTGCCTGAAATAGAAGCTCTGAGTAAGGGAACACTGTGTAATGCAGCATGGCTTAGAGGATGGAATCCAGTCTCAAAAGTGCTTTGAGCTCTTAGCACAAAGTCTGCACTCTAAATAATTTATTTTATTGCTTTTTGTATTTGAGTATTCACACACTGAACTGTTATTACTGCCTGCTTATTCTTATCCCATAAAAAAAAAGGCTGTGAAGTTTTAATCCAGTGGTTTCTGAGCAGCTTCCATGGGATCAGTCCCCACTGAAAGAAGTATTCCCTTCATGCTGTCTTCCACTTTTATGGTATTGTTAATGGAAACTTATGGTCAATAGGTACAAACTCAGTGTGATTAGGCATTTGTATTTGAAAAGTTCTGAGAAAAAAAAAAAAGTTTGTACTACCTACATGCAATTATCACTTGAATAGGATATGTTCATTTAACCTTGCCTCAGTTCTGCCTGGATAGACTTGGTTATCAATTATGCTTCTCTAAGTACATGTATTTTCAAAGGATGGGAAATAAAAATTGATTTCAAGGAATGGCATAGTCTTATATAACTTATATAACGTGGTTGTTTTGGTTTGGTTTGTTTTTTTTAAAGCAATGCTAACAATAAATAGAAGCAGCAGCATATTTGACTTGTATGTGCCACTTAAATCTCCAATCTGGCAGTTCAGTGAATGTGTTCTGCTTCTGTGCACCATTTTCAGCTTTTACAGCTTTTTTACTATCTAACTATTTGGAAATGTATTAAACAGCAGTCTATGAGTTTGTGACAAGGCTTCATCAAGAATATTTTGTCCAGTTACTAGCTCAGACATCTAAAGTCTGACTTGAATTGGCACTAAATCAACTGAGGCAATGCTGAGATACTTCATGACTAGAATGGCAGAAAATAGAAATATTTGCCTGGTTGTCAAAGAGGGGTGTTAGCTGCTCACAGCATGAATGCCTTGACAGCTCAGTGGGAAAGAAATTGCACATTTTCTCAATGTCTCAGTGTACCTGACCCAGTGTTCTTAAAAGTGCCCTGGGAGCTACAGAGGTAAATATAACACTCCTCAGGCTTTATTCTTGCTCATTTCATGGAGCTATTTGAACAACAGTTTGTCGTGTATCTGTCTGTCTGGCTCCTTAATGTTTTATTTACCCTACATGAAAAGTAAAGCTAATTAAAACAGATATACTAACATGAAGATGCCACTTCAGTGTCTGAACCTTATGTGTTGGTTTCCTGTCAGTAAAAGATCTGATTGGCAGTGTGCATTCCAATCTCCAGTTTGGGAAGAAGCAGCTTAATTATATGGAGAACGGCGTTGTAAGTACGTGGATGGTGAAGTAGAAACCTTAGCATGGCTTGTCTGTGGTTTTAAATCTTTGAGCAATGTTCATAAGCAGGAGGAGGACATCATGTTCTGAAATGGTTTATATTTTGATCATTGAATGCAGTGATGAGCTGGAAAGAGCTCAAAGGAATACTTGAGGAAACTCTTTTTTATGGTTCTGTCACTGGAAGGTAGATCAGATGGAAGTAGTTTCCGTGTTTCTGATGATGATTTTTCTTCTCTGGAGACTCTGAACCAACTTGGTTAGAGATAGCTCATGCCTGGGACAAATACAAACACATCTGGAGCCCAGACTTTTCCCTGAGGGATGCACTTGCATGTACTGTAGTTAAACTGCCTAAGTGTGGAATAAAAGAGCCAAAGAGCCCGGCTTGCCCCTTTCACTTTGATTCACTGAGTGTAATATACACTACAAGAGATTTTATTGGAAGCTCCTGCTTAAGTTATTGGCATATCTTTGACACCATCTGCACTTCACACTTTGCCAGCAGAGCTGTTACTATCACAATCTCAGGGACTGCTCCTACCAACATTCTCCTTTTACTGGGAAAATTCCTAGTAAGATGAGTGAACCAAAGCTAGTCTCGTATTCAGTGAATAAAAGGTAGGAAACCTGTATTTTCATGCTGCTGACTATGTTTTTTTCACTTTCTTTTAGTCTGAAAACAAATTTCTCTGTGGTATCAGAACACTGGAATGCTTCATTTTTTTCCTAGAAAAAAGGTCTTGAGGAAATGATATAAGTTACAGATCTTTTCTCGAAGTTGGCAGCATTTTAAAATGGGATTTATTTAATAGTTCAGAGAGAATTTTGGAGTTCTTGTGAGATTTCAGCTCAAATTTTCTGTTTCATGAAGATTAAATGCTACACTACTGCATATGAATTATTTTGAATGTATAGAAGTAGCTCGAGGATGGGTTTGAGATACCAACTACCTGTGAGCGGAATGATTTTATTGATCTCTGTTTAACAAAGGGAAAAAAGTAGTGATGAGAAGGGGAAGTGAACAGCACTTATGTAAAAGTCTCTGCACCTCTGTTTCATAATTTAATTCTTCTGTTCTTAAGACTCTTCCATTCCTGTGTTATCTCAGTCCTGAAACAATTGTATGAGCCTTTGTGAGTGTCAGTTCTGTTTTCGTGATTCTGATTGCCAAGGACTAGTGTCCTTCATTTTCAGAAATCTTTCTTCTGTGTTCCTGCTTTTGAAATGAAACAGATCCAGGGGGTGAAACTCAAGGATTTGAACATGTGGGATTAAGAAGCCTGAGAGGGAGATAAAAGGCATACGTGGCAAAAAATTATCCTGAAAATAAGGTTTAGAAGAACAGCATAAAACTTGAGTGACTTCCCCATCTACTTTTCTTTTTCCATTTTGACTTTTAGGCTGCTGCACTTCTTTCACCCACCTTTGTATGGCAGACACATATTAGATTTCTCCATCAGTAGACTTCAGAGCTGTTTTAAATCAAATTTGTTTCCGCACAGGAAATGGCTCAGTAAACAAAAATATGGATAGAATCTATTTGTCAATCCTGGTATGTAAATAGAAAAGTGGCATTGTGATAAGCATTAAGAACCCTGCCCATGAGATAAGGTGCCTCGTAATAAAATCCCTATCTGTGCAGTGGGGGAATAGAAAATATTTCATGAAGAATTCAGGTGGCATCATAGAAAATACTGTGAGCTTAAAATTGCTGATATATAACAGCTGTAAAATACAATCTTATGGTATCAGCTGAAGTTTCAAGTGTAATGTTATTTTAGAGAATTGTGATGCAGAGGTTATGCAGTATGAAAAAGGGGTATATTTTGAAATAATCCATGCTTCAGGTCATTGTAACAACTTGTCATGTGAGCCATATTACAGGAATTCGGTGAAAAAATCAGTAACACAGGGGAAAATGCTCAGTTCCCTAAAGCTGTGACTAGTGAACATTGTTTAGACAGAAGAATTGACACAAGCATTCCTCAAACATTGGTAATAAGATTTGATTTCATAGGAAGGGACAAGGAAGACAAGGGATTTCTAAGGTGTTGATCCACTGCAGGCCACAGCTGAGGCCATCAGCAAAGTCAGTGATGCCTCTGAGAACATATTTAAGAGAGGACAAGAACGCTGGACAGGAAGGGAAGTGAAACTGAGCCTGGAAAAGGGCAAGGCAAAGGTGCTGTTCTAGTTTTTTGGTTTTGTTTCTCATTATCCAATCTGTTTTAATTGGCAGTTACTGACACTGTTTTGCCCACGATGATAATTGATAAGTGAACTCTATATTTACCACGGTCAATGATTTTTTCCATCTTATTCCCCACCCCCTATCCTTTTGAGTAGGGGGAATGAAAGCACATCTTGGTAGGTGCCTGGAACATGGCCAATGTTTACCCACCACATTCTGTTCAACAGAAGTTAAACACCAAATATGTATCCTAAAAACCCTATGTCATTTACCTCTTTAGTCGTGTTTCATTCTTAAATGGAGCTTAGCCAGTTTTCCCAGAGCAAACACAGTCTACTGCCCCTGCTTGGAGTGTGGGTAAGGAGGCACATGCTGTGATGGAAATATGTGCCTGTGATTCTGTGTGTTTAGGTGTGTCCTGCCTAATAATCTGAGTTTGTCCTCACTGTCCTTTACTTCCTGATATTTTACTCCTCTGAAGTAACAAGCTGAGCAGAAGTGAGCTGGAAAACAGAACGCTGTGTAGTGGTTTTAACCATGCATATGCAACATATGTTCTAAAATGTTTTGTTATAAATCATCGTGACTTTTTACAAGATGTCTTCAGCCCTGGTTTGTCTGTTCTTTTAAAGAACAAAACACAGTGACAAGAATATATTGTCTATGCTTGCTTTTGCAGCTGTGGAAATTATTCTGGGAATATATATATATATTTTATTTCAAATTACATGTTTACTTTCAGCTAATAACATCAGATAAAGGCATTGTGAAGATAATTTGATGTAAAGTGACTGTCTACATTCAGGTTTCTAGATATTGCTCTTTTATTTTCCTTAAGGACAGACTGAAGCTGACAAGAAAGAAAAGCTAAAGTTCCATATTATAATTTAGGTGTGAGTATATATATGTTTACATGTACTCTTGATCATTTTATTTTGTACTTATGACATAATTTTAGTGGTTGGCATAAAAAAATCACACACTTTATCATACCAACTACAGTGCTCTGTCTGATATACTGTGGGGTTTTTTTGTGGATGAAGAAAAATCTGTGCTAATGCAATAGAGAGGTAAATCTTTGGAAAATGCTGGCTTTTGAGTAGTGAGCACAGTAAGTGATAATTTTGGCAGATTTTCAATAATACATGTAGCACTAATAGTTCAGAAGGTACCTGAATCCGTGATCTGCCTCTTCAGATTTTGCAGCATATAATAGAGCAACTAAATTTCTGTATAAGTACCAAATTACATACTCTGAGGTTTTTCTGGATTTGTGGTTTTTAGTTTTTCCTGCTGTCTGGCTTTCAGTTGGTGTTGCATGTATTTTAAACTGAGAGAGTTAGTTGGACATCAGGATAATTCAGGCTCACAGGTTTGAATGTGTGAACCTCT